CTCAGAGGATCATTGCTACTTAGTAAGTAGGGCTATAAATACATTAATTGGGGTTATAAGTAGATATAGGGTAGATACCGTACTGGTAACTCTACTTACTAAGTCCCATGATCCTCGAAGCAATGGATGCAGGCTCAAACCCCCAAAGCCCCTCAAGCTGAGTCGAACTCAAAACCTGAAGCCCTAATTCCAGCACTCCCCCGTCCCGCCAAGAGTTCAGTCTCAAACCTCCAATCCCCTCAACCACAATCCGGGATTAAGATCTTCTTCCTCAATAGCTGAAGTCTCCAGGACTTGAAGTCCCGAAGCCCAGGGTCGCTGAGCGTAACGTGGAGTTTTTGAATAGGGTCTCAGGTCCCTGATATTGGGGGGGGGGAGGTGCTGGATGATTTCTGGGGTCCTGATCCCAAGTACCGGCATAGATGCTCCATGCTGTAGACGTTTCAGGCTTCGTTAATGCTCGAAACGAACCTGCACCCCGGCACTATGATGCACAGGCTGCGAAACTGTAAAGACTACGACAACGGAGGGCATTGTGAGGACGAGCTAGCTTCAACATTCTCGTCTTCTCCACCATGAACCATGAGACAGTAGCGGGACAAGACTGATTTCAGCACTTTGGGGTGTCTGAAGCGGTCAACACATTCAGTTAGGATAGCATGAGCGGCTTTATCACTTGACAGCTTGTGAGATATCGGAAATCAGAACAGAATTTCGTCGAAAACGCTAGAAACTGAAGGGCCCACTAAAGGGAGACGACTACAACATTAAACACTGCCAATTGCGCAAAACGTGCGCAACACCAGTGGCCCCTCACTACGTCGTATCGAGCAGCGGCACATAAGAGTGGTTCACAGCGCTAGAAAGACAAAACGAAGGAAAACGCAGTTTCACTCGGCAAGCTCTTGCAAGATCTCGTGTGCATGCGACCCCTTAAAACCCTAAATCATAAACCCTTAACCCAGAGTAACTTTACCATAAACTCCGAGCCAAAAAGCTTACATAACTTTACGGTACCAGTAACTCCTACAGGAACCTCAGACAACCCTCGCAAGTTGAGGGCCGCGGAGCGAAGTCGCCCAGCCCCCCTCCAAGCGATGTGCAGAGTTTGTTTGAGGTTTGGGAAGGGGGTTTCTCTACCGGTTTCCGTAAGGGATCCTGTAAGGGCTCTACAGGGGGCTTTTTGGGTTGAGGGTTTCGGGCGTCGCGTACGGCGGCGTGGGATTCAAGGTGCCGGGTTTAGCTTCGGGGCTCTTCATCTTTGTGGCATTCTTGACCACTTTGGCTCTCCACTAACATCAGGAGACCCAACAGCAGAGAAGGGGGTTCGTTGCTAGACCCTCTTGGTTTCCCGTATCCCCTTGATAGTCGGGGTATGCTTCTTCGTGTTCATTACGCGTGTAATTATGAAAAAGACCCCAGAATGCGAGTCTACTTGAGGGCTTAACTCCCAAAGCTGTAGAAAACCCTGAACCCCCGGCCCGGAAAAGTATAAACGTGCAGGGATTTGGGCTTTGAGTTTCACACTGCCCTCTGCCCGATCTTCGACGGATTACATGCTGAGGCCGGACTAGGCCAACCCCTGGCAAACTCACGGGCATCAGGATCTCACACACTATATTAGAGGCCCTAATGATTAGAATAAGAGTTGTGGGCACATTATACTATAACTATAATCAGGAACCACCGAAATAGTATTGGCAAGTATTAAGGCCGGTAGATTGCATGGGGCTGGGCTTTCTTTTAAATTTCGGGCTTGGAACTTAGGGTTTCTATTCGAAAGGCTTTTGATGAGACATAATGCGAGTGCTGTTCTATATGCCACTAGTGCTGCACGCCTCTATAGCACCTGTCGTTGTGATACTAGTAAAGAAAGTAATCCTACTTCTTTGACCTCCGCAAACGCGATTCAACGTGTCTCGGCTTCGGGTTTCAGGTTGATAGGGCCCTGCACTCATCATCTCAAATTACTGTAGCGGCCTTAATAAGTAGAACAGGGTTTCGGGGCCCATTATGCTATACTGAAAAAGGAACCCCAGAATAGTGTAGTTAAGTTTTAAGGCTATTAAGGCCCCTGCGGTACCTCCTGAAAGGCCCAGAACAGCGATGCCTTGAGTGATGGGCTTCAAGGTCGTCGCCGGTTTCTTCTTCGGAGACTTCTGCTTGGCCACCATTCCAAACGCTTCTGGGAGCTCTGCCAACGCAAGGGTCTACCGCTTGCGGGTTTATCTGTGGAGACTGCCCGTTTCTCACATGACGGGTGTACGCCGTTGCGACCCTTGCTATGTAAGGGCCTGGCGATTTAAATTTGAAGCCGGCACAGGGGGGCATAATGTAATGATGTACCATACCTACTGCTGACACAAACTCCTCTACTAAGCTACTGTACTATCGCCCATTTCGCAAAGCCACATTCGGACCGGAGCTGAATTACAACAGGCTTTGGGTGCATTCATTACCCATAAAGGAACCCTTGTATGGGCCCAAGAGGAGCATTGTGTTACGGGTGGGGGCTCCTGTGTCGAGCGCATGCAAAGGCTTGGCTTTGAGCCTGAATTCAATAGCCCTTAATGAGGGATTATACCTTAAACTGTAATATTAAGCCCCGTATAATTTAAGGTATGGTCCTTAATTAAGGGATATTGGGACCTCTGGACATCCACCACTGGGACAGCACCGTCTTCCGTCATGGGTTTAGAGTGCAGGGCTTCAGGATTCAGACCGTCTGGTTTAGAAGATCGGATCGAGGCACCTAAACCCGAAAGGATTTGATGCGTACGACTTCGGGTGATAGTTCGGCGAAGTGATGCCAAGGCATTCTAGCAGATTGGGCCCAGGATTCTAGACTGCTTCCTCTACCAGGACTACTTAGAGGAGCAGGGGATTTAGCAAGTAGGGTTAAAAGTAAGGTAACAATAGTTTGTATCTACAAAAACCCCAGTTCAGGAACCTATAAGCCTACTTACTAAGTGCCCTGATCCTCCAAGCAGGTCTGTGAGCCAAATTTTGAACAGCATCAGGTCCTACTTGATGCACAGACCGCTGAAATATGACCGTAAACCCTGAACTCTGAGCCCATACACTCAACAGTATTCCTACTAGGAACACACCAGCACGGGTAATAGCTAGAATCCTACTTCGTATGCTGTTCTGTCAGTGTGGCAGCTTTGTCGTATTTGGTGGAATTTCGGACTTAGTGAGTAGGTTCGACACTTCCAACATCTTTCCAACCCACTGACTACAAAGTCCCGGATCCTAAACCCACTTATGACACTCGTATAAAAACCCTTAACCATAAACTCTGTAATTAGACCCAGAAGCTCGAGATTCCCAAACCCCCTCAATTAAGGAATACAGTAGATCGTGCACCCTAAACCCTAAAACCTAAAACCTAAACCCTCCACGACCGAAGCTAAGGTATCTTCCTTTAATTCAGGGACTTTGGGGTCTCTAGGAATAGACGCCTTTCAAGGGCTCCTTTAAGGCATCTTTTAAGGGCTCCTTTAAGGCATCTTTTAAGGGCTCCTTTAAGGCATCTTTTAAGGGCTCCTTTAAGGGCCTGTTTAAGAGAGGAGCTGCTTTAAGAGTTGTCTTCGTCTTCTGAATGGGAGTGGGACCCGGCTCCTCCATGGCAGTTCTATATCAGGGTCCCCAAGGCCTAGGCTGTTTCAGAATCCACGATGTAGGGCTGGGGTTCAAAAGTCAAGGGTTTAGGGTTGGGGCTTAGGCCGCAGGTTTCGGAATTTAGAGAGTTGCCTCAGGGTTCAGAGGATGTGTCAGTCTCCTGAAAGACAGACCCCCACCCATACAGACGCCGAAATCCGAGACCCCACAATCGTAACCCTAAAATGTCGTAAAGCTCAAATCTTATGCCCAGACCCTAAACCCTAAAAGCGCATTTCCAAGGGCCCGACGTGTGCGAAGATCGAGAAGAACGCCGGTGTCGTGCTCAGGAAAACTGCAGTGAATCCAAGCCTCGAAGCGCAGACTTTACGGTATAGGGCTTATACTGTACGAGTAGTCCCTATTATGGGCTACACCTCCTTAAATAGAGGATCTCAGCCTTAAAGTATAGGTTCCTAGTAGGGAGAATGGGTTATGGGGACTGCTATTGGGAATTATGCAGGGACTACTATAGGGATTCATTCCCCCATTCCCTACTAAGCATCAAACTTAGGGCTTAAGGGTTTAGAGTTTAGTGGTTTGCGTAGAGGTTCTTTGGAAGGGTGCTGGCTTGGGTTTCCAGGAGTTAGAAAGCTGTGCTGCACTGGGGGTCTAGGATTTCGGCACCAGCCCCAAAGTCCAAAACAGCCCGAAGTACGGTGTAAGGAAACAATGTTTTAATTCTAAGTTCTTGCTGACGACTGCAAACTTCGTTAACCAGGTGACATCAGACAACTGCTACAAACCTACCTGCTAACACCTGCATTGACAACCGAGTTCTGCGTTGTTACACGTGCAACACCAACCGGGAAAGAGCCGCCACGGGTATCGCTTGTAATATTGCTAGCACGCACCGTGAATGTTACAATATGCCTAGTATGCCCACCTTCATCATCAGCATGATCATCACCATCCTCATATCACCATATCACCACGTCACCACCTTCACCTCACCTTCAAATTCAGCAGCAGCACCAGCACCTTCTCAATCATCAACATCATCATCATCATCATCATCATCGTCACTAGAAAGAGAGCAGTAACCCCAGGCATGCCGAAGCTAAACACAACTTTTTGCGTGATGAACAGCAAAACCAGCACCACCAGTACCCTGAAGATTGAAAAAGTGACCGACTGCTGAACCACTTTGCCTACTGTGGCATCAAGTAGCCTTCCCACGAAATCTCGCGCCATTTCTCAGTGCCAAAGCCCCGTCTATATCTGCTACTCTACACCCCTAAGCCACCCTCCCTAAACCCTAAACCCTGAACTCAAACCCTTGCACCGGAAAACTGAAGTTCGATGGCCAGAAATCGAGAATAAGCCGAGGATGGAGCGTGAACGACAGGCACCACTCATCGTTGTGAGGTGGCCAATTCCAGTATCTGCGTTTCGGGGCGTTGTAAGGCTCAGGGTTTGAGGTTTGGGGTTAGGTTTTCGGAGTGTGGGAGTTTTGGGCTTCGTCTTGGGGTTTAGGTCCGACATTGCTTCGTGGATCAGATTGACCTGAACTGTTGGAAACGAAGCAGCAATGACCGTTGTTGCAATCGCTCTGCTCTGGGGGCCTTAATAGTTAGACAAGGGTTTTGGGGCCCATTATACTATAAATGTAATAAAGACCACTAGTACAAGGCCCCTAATATAGAACCCTATTATAGAACCCTTACAGATCCCTTTAAAGGGAACCTGTAATTATTGAGGCCACCTAGATTCTGTATTCTTAACGAAAGAGTCGGTTCTCGGGCTCTAGAGCATCTCCTTGCAGTGCCCCTGAAAAAAACCCAGCATCCTCAAGCCCACATGGGCTCTTGTTAAGGATTTAAGGGATCTAGAGGGGCCCCTTTAAGGGATCTATAGGGGCTCCTTTAAGGGATCTTTCAAGGGTATAGGATTTTCATTTGAATTACCATAATAGGGATCTATAGCAAATAATATGGTTTCCTTGTCATGGTAGCTTAAATTATACTCCTTAACAAGAACCAGACAAGCACAATCAGCACCAAAAGCTCAAGCGTCCTTTCAACACCCCAACCTCGGGACCTATAACTAGAATAGGGCTTTGGCCCCTGTATAATATATAGCTATATAAGGAATCCTATATAAGGAATACCGATAATTTATTTCGGCTTCGATATTAGAGGCCATACCAAGGCTTCTAGAAACTTCGAACCCCGAAGAAGGATTCACATGACCGGGAACTTCGCTATTCAGCTTTGAGGGTTGCACAGGGTCGAGCGACGAGTTGCGTCTCTGAGAACCTGAATCAGTTGATGTAGGGCCTTTAGAACTAGAATGGGGTTTGGAGTGTAGTATAATTACTGTGTTTTTGTAAGGGAACCTTCAGGAACAATATTCAATATTGACAGTCGTTGCAACTGTGATGACTGTGATTATTGAGGCTTCCATTTTCGGGTAGCCAAACCGGGGTTTCGGCTACTGTACGCTACGCTTGTGTAAGCTTTTCAGAACTTCAGAAAGGGGAGTTTCCGAAGATAGGGGACCCTAATATACTACCCTACTAAATAGTAGGATCCTTATTATTATTATTATTAGTATAAGTACCCCAGGATAAGGTCCCACAAGTGAACGGAAGCTCTCAAATCTAGTTTGATGACACTTGCATACTATCTGCATCCCGGGCGCAAGTCATGCACCACACAGATGAGGTTCAAGAGAACGGCGATGAACCAATTGCCTCCAGCAGCAAAAACCATACACCCTAAACCCCTCAACCCTAAACCCCAAACCCCTACACCGTAAACCCTAATCCTAAGTCGGAGTCAAAAGCTCCAAGCCTGAAACACTAAATCCTAAACTCCAAACCGTAAGCCTGAACTAAACCCGAAACCCTAAAACTCTAAGCCCTATAAAGATCCTTTATGGATCCCTTTCAAAAGACCCCTATAGATCCCCTTAAAAAAGCTTGCGATCCCAATGCCAGGGCCTCAATCCTTAAGAGCAACGTATCGGGAATCCCAGCACTATTTGGCCTTACTCCGGTTTCCGACTTTATGGGGTTTACTGTGCTGGGTTCTTGTTCAGGGGCTTAGCTTAATTTACCATAACAGGGATCGATAAGGGGTGTCTGTAAGGGATCTATAAGGGTTCCTTTAGGGGTCTAGGGATTTAGTGTAAGTTACCATAATAAGGAAACCATACTATTTACTATAGATCCCTATTATGGTAACTTAAACTACATCAAAATAAATAAACTTCTTAACAAGAATCCAGGATATCCGTGAGCCTGCGGACATGAACCTAAGGCCGAAGTCGAAGTCGCAGCTCTAGACTAAACCCTAAACCTTGGGTACTGCCCCCCAAATAAAGGCACCCCCCCGCCCACCCAATATTGCAGAGGCTTTCTGTTTTTGCAGAGGGTTTAGGAGTATGTTCTACGATCGTGAGAACGACAACCCAAGGAACCCTGTTCTAATGATCAAGGGCCTCAAACGACTCATGAGCCCGACTGCCACCAGTTCGAGTTTATGTCCCTGCGCGTTCTTGGACCCTTATAGGAAAGCTCGAACAAAACCCGAAACACCCTTCTCTAAACCAGCCGTCAGCCCAAACCCTACACCAACGTAAGACCTGAGGCCCCCCTTAGACAAACACAAGCTTGAAGCCCCACACCACGAAACCTCAAACCCGAAACCCAAACTCCAAGACCCTAAAACCCTAAAACAACCCACCGTAAAACCCTAAAAATACCCACCATGGATCGGCCGGAAGGCTCAAGACGATGTGTGCCCAGCAGACACTGCAAAACGGCGGAACCGACCTCGGAGCTCTGTTTTATAAAACCGTTTGAAGAGCTTTACGGTTTGAGCTGAAGGACGCCCTCTCAGGGATCTTGAAATAAGGGATCCTACTACTCAGTGTCTAAGTGAATACGGTCACACTCCGAACCTCTCACTGGTGGGGCTGCTGAAGGTTTTAAAATTTTTAAGGCTAGAGGCTGGTGGATGGCCATGACGAGCCCTAAGCCCTAAACCCCATCCTCACGCAAGGCCCTGCAAAGCGGACTGCAATACAGTTCCTTTGAATTCCCTCCAGCCTCCGACGCCCTGAACCCTACTCCCTAAGCCTCACAGCACCCCAAAATATCCTGTTAAAACCTGTTCAGACCTCCTAGATGCTTATGAACGCCCTGTTTCTTTCACACCCTTCGAAAGGGACCCCTAAAGCCCGAACCCCTAACAAATGGGAACCGTAGCCTCCGATGTAGGCCTGTATAGGGGGGATCTGTGCACCCGTGAAGATCCGGATGCGGCTTAGGGCTGTGCACCCGTGAAGATCCGGATGCGGCCTAGGGTTTGTGGGTTTGTAAGCATAATTGGCCATACTCGTGACCTGTGCCAGTATGATCTGACCAGAAGGAGATGATGTTGGCACGCATCTTCCACTGCCCGGGGCCAAGTCGGTTGCCCAGTCGTACTTCGAGCAACTGAACATTCGGCCGTAGGCCTGGTATCGGCTGCTCCACCATCGTTTCCAACCTGCTGTTGCCAGATGGCACCACACGTGTCTGCTGTCGAGGAGACTAGCATGCAGTTCTTCACCGACGCCAGACAACAAACGAAGCACGTCCCGGTGTATGACATTTTCGAGCTTTGCGGTGCCGTCCAAGGAGTCGACATGGCCTCTCCTCCCTCTTCCTGGACGGACGTCAGCCGTTCAACTTGCTCGCCAGCAAGGACGACTTCCAACATAGCAGAACCGCGCTCGCTGTCCGCGAAAAATTCACCGGGCACTCCGGGACATCTTCAGGCCGTTCTGCCGCTGGCCTAGATAAGGTCATAGGGTAGTGGGGTGGTATTGTGGTATGGTAGGGTAGGGTAGGATAAGAAGCTGCTGTCGTAGAGCTGTACTTTCAAGCTGGCTGCTTGTCCGTCAACGTCAAGGAATCTAAGCATCTAGAGGCTATAAAGCAGGACCGGGACTATGGCTGTGGCGGTGTGGTAAAAGTGGACTTCGGTGCTTCTGGGTACGGTGCTAGTCCATGGCTCATGAGGGTTAACAAAGCTCGTGAAGGTACCACCAATTCCCGCGGTGAGAAGATAAAACGCCCTTGGGCTCGAGATGCACACTACTTGGCCGAAGACTTTAAAGGGATTCTACCAGGTGCTAAACTGTTCGGAATAAAAGCTTAAAGGGTTCTGTAAGGTTTTTATAAATGATTTGTGTTCAGCGTCTGGGGTTCCGGGTTTCGGTCGGAGTTTTCAGCGAGTTTTGGGGGAAGGAACCCAACCCAAAATCCTAAACCCGTAAACCCTAAACCCCAATGCCGAACCTAAACCTGGAGCCCACATCTGAGAAAAAGGCCTCACCATGAGCGAGAAGATGCGGCGCTGACAGGGGCTTTAAACTTTCTTGAGGGTTAGGCTTTGGGGTTAAGGGTTTAGAGTTTAGGGTAGTGCAGTGTTTAGGCTTTGACTCCACCCCTCAACCACCATCGTAAAGATCCTTAAACCCTTACCTGAAACCTAAACCCTAAAAACTACCCTCTGAAAGATCGTAAACCCAAACCCCCGAACACTACCCTCTGTTTTTACCCAAAGCCCTAAATTGTAAAGCCTAAAACGCTCAAATCAGCTCGTTGGGGGGGGGGCGGGGTCCCGGAGGCACCTTTTTCAGGGGGCCCTGTTGGTTTGGAGGGACCCTTCCCTTACCTTTTGGCTAGCAGGGAATGGAAGAACGGTAGTAGTAGTAGTAGTAGTAGTAGTAGTAGTAGTAGTAGTAGTAGTAGTAGTAGTAGTAGTAGTAGTAGTAGTAGTAGTAGTAGTAGTTATAGAGTAGTTATATAGTAGTATATAACTATATAACATGGTAGAGTAGGGAATGCAATGGTTGATGATATAAATCCTGCTCTACCCATAATAAGAAAGATACCATAATTCCCACAGTCTAGGGTCTTTAAGGTAATGCAGGATATATATCATGAGCCGAAGAATGGTAGTACTAGTAGTTATAATTGTACCCCATTCTTCCAATCCCAACTATCCAAAGGTAAGTTCCAAAAACGGCGCATGGAGTCCGGTTTTCGACGGTTCCAAGTTAAAGATGACCCTAAAAAACTTAACACCCTAAACCCTAGATCCACCTGAACCCTAAGAACCTTAGGGTTCAATTACTTACGGCTTTATTGTATGGGCCTCGGGTTCGGCCATGGTTTTTAGCCCTAAACCCTCAACATCCTCGGGCTTTGGGCCAACCCTGGAACCCTAAACCCTAAACCTTAAGCCGGTTTAAAAGTTGTAACGAATCAGGGTGCCAAGGACTCTGTTTTCAGGGTTGAAATGCCACACCTTTGGTTGCCCCCGCACCGCATGTGGTAGAATGGCATCCCTGTATCTTTATTCGTTGGCAGCTTGAACTCTGCCACAGCCCTCTGCAATCTTTAAGCTGAGACGCTCAAGCTCCAAACCCGAACCTTGCGCCCTAAACCATAAGTTAGGGGCCTTGAGAATTAGAATTCAGCTTGAAGGTCTATTATACGGTTATTAGAATATGCAGCTCCAGAAGTGTACTATTGAAGCCCCTGAGTATGTTAAACCCAGAGCAGCAACCCGAAGACTCCTTTAAAGCCTTGTCAACCCCCTCATAGAACAGCGGTCTAGGGTGTAGGGTTTCGGGTTTAGAGTTTGGGGTTTTGGGTTTAGAATTTAGGGTGTAGGGTTAGGGTTTAGGGTTTACAGTTGAGGGTGTAGGGGTTAGGGTTTTGGCTTTAGAATTTAGGGTGTAGGTTTTTTTTTGAACTCCTTTTTATGGGCAGACACCCTAGGGTAGGGTTGGGGTTTAGGGTTTAGCGAACACACTTGGAACCCTCATCATCCAATCCCGGAACACTGATCATCCCAAACTCCCAAGCCCTGCCTGCACCCTGAACGGTTTAGGGTGAACCGTTGAACCCACAGTCCTACCTGCACTGTACCTGAACCCCACACCCCACCTCTACTTGGAGCCCGTGCATGTTAAGCCTTACTGAAGCCCTGAACCCTGAACTCTAAATCCTTAAACCCTGAGCCCAGACTCTAAATCCGTAAACCCTAAACTCCTAAATCTCTGACAGAACCGTTTGAGGAAATCTTGAAGGAATCCGTAAAGAACCCTCAGATTTGAATGCATACGGTAATCACTGCCACACATACGCTACATTACTAAAAACTGTGAATATCACAAACTCGCCCAAACTATATCCTGAATGAAACTCTGACGAAACTCGATGCCAAACGCATACTAGACCCAAAGAAGCAAAGACCAAACCTTGTACTACAACCATACTAGATTTCTAGAATCCCAAACAAACCCTGAAAGCTGCCTTCTTCAAGGCGCTCTCCTTGCCACTGTACCAAGCGAGAGGGATCGCCTCGTTCTTCTGGAGTTCAGGCTTTCAATTAGGGTTTAGGTTTTAGGTTTTGGGCTATGGTTTAGGCGCTCTCCTTGCCACTGTACCAAGCGAGAGGGATCGCCTCGTTCTTCTGGAGTTCAGGCTTTCTTTCAATTAGGGTTTAGGTTTTAGGTTTTGGGCTATGGTTTAGGGTTTAGGGTTTAGGTTTTGGGCTATGGGGAGATTACCGGAAGAACAAAGAAACAGGAGATGTAGCATTCTTAGAAGTAGCCGCTACATGCCAATACTTCCAGATGCTGGAACAGAAGAAGACTGCACGAAGCTAATACCTTTACATTGTTATACGTATTACTGATTATCTGTTGTTTGCTGCCTGTGGATATCATTGCAACTACTACTTGTATCGCATTTTTAACTGGCGGTACACACTTAGTAATACAACTATTATGACCATTTGGGGATCTTTGTTCGCGAGTATTCCATAGTGCTGCAATGTTACGCTATGTTTACCGTCATTATAACTTTTGTTTCCAAGACGGTGATTGTTACAGTGTTTTCGTTTCATCTTCTCTCATTGGGCTGATTCTTTTTTTCCGGGCCTCAGGTACTCTGAGTTGTTGAGCAGAGCTTGTTGTGGCTTAGGGGTCTGGGGTTGAAGGTCTAGGCTTTAGGGGTTTAGGGCGCTCTTTCTCTCTTCTCTCTCTCTCTCTCTGTGTCTCTGCGCCTTGCCCAGGGGCAAGAGGAAGAGGCTCGCCCTCTTCCGCGCTCATCCGAGCGGCCTCTCTCTCTCTCTCTCTCCCTGTTCTTCTGCCCAGCACAGGCGCCCCAAGCTGTGGAATTCATGCTGCGAACTCTAACTACATGGGTGGTTGTCCAAATGGTGGTCCCTCTTTGGGTCCCTAATATAGGACGGCACTTAATATTTGGGGTACCCAAAAAAAGTACAGTAATTTTGACAACCACCCACATGCGTCATGCAACACTCAGAAGACGTCAACACGCGAACTGCTGAAATCACATTCGACAAGCGTGAGCACTAGTGCTAATGTCTTCGCCACAGTTCCTCAGCGCAGAGCCGTCCACATGTGGACCAGCTCCAGCATGGACAACCTGGAGAATGCAGACTCACGCGTCGATGTGTGCATAAGCTCTGGTGCAACCAAGTGAATCGAGACGGCTCAGTGCAAACTAGGATTTTGACCTTCATTTCTATTTCTTTTTCAGATTTCTGCGGTGCCGGGCATGCCCCCCCAAACCCTAACTAGGCCCTATTCTCACAATTTGCATGTCGTGAGTCCCGATTACATGCATCCCGTGATGCCAAGCGAGCCCAATTAACGCCCTAGCAACAGACCGTAAGCCACGTGGAGAGGATCGCTCCAGTACACAGTGCTGATTTCTGCTTTTGTCTCAGTTACGCCAACTGGCATGGAGGCCTGAACAAGTAGAACAGGGTATTGGCGCATGCTACGGTATAATTACAATATAGCTCTCCGCATCCTGTACCCCCAAGCCTTAAACAAGATATCAACGTCAGAAAGTCGAACGCATGCTTTCCCCAACAGGTATTGAATGTGCTCGTAATCTAGGGACTTCACTAGAGTTTCTACAGAGTTTCTTTCAAAGCCACAAGCCCTAAACCCCTAAACTAGAAGGGTGGTTGTCAAAATTATGGTCCCTTTTTGGTCCCTAATACGGCACCTATTATTATGGTACCCAAAAAGGGACTTTAATTTTTTTTGGGTTGAAAGGTTTCGAAGCCTGAAGCAGGGGACCCAGGTTTGGCGAGCAAAGTATGTTGAAGGGTATCATCGTATGATACTATAGTATAGTATTATACTATGATAGTTATGCTACAATATACTAACAAAGCTGTTGATTAGACTATAACCGCAACAGAAAACTCCATAGAGAATACTATTTCTGTGCACTGAGGCTTCTACATTGCACATGAGCTGCAACCTGCCTAGCTCCCTAAACCCTACGCCGAAACCGTAAAAAAACTCTTTGAGGGTATAGGAGGTAGACGAATACATCTTTCTTGACAGTGAGAGGGACCATGCGTGGCTATAGAGTGCCAAAGTTCCGGAGTTTGTTCCTAAGATCATGCAGGATGGGTCTCATAGCAACAGGGACGCTACCCCACCAAAAGAGTCTGGGCATCGGGCACCTGGGCTTTCAGCGGACCCCGGATTTGCCAGCCAACTGCCCGAGCGGTAGATGAAAGAAAGACAGCCAAACATGGGGATATAGACACTACCCATGAACTACAACTGAATCATATCAGCCTCTTCATTGACGAGCATCTTTCCCGTCATGAATGTCGTTACAATGAACATCACCACTTCTACTGGATGTTCTTTGCGAGCTCGTTGCGCTTCCGGCTAGGACTCAGGGCTTTTGCTTAGGGTGTAGGCTTGCAGGGTGATCGAGTCTTCTGCAGCCCGAAACCTCCGAACTAGATACTCCTAAGCCCTTGGCAGACGGCTCTACGGAACACTTTCAGGATCCCCTACGTGGAGGATCCTGGGACTTAGTAAGCAAGGTGGTAAGTACCGTAATGCATACCTATAGATACATTTTGATCCTCTAAGTATGGGAACCAAGAGAATTAAGGGATCCTTGTAGGCATCCTAAACCTTTAAACCTGAGCCCTAGGCCCGGAATTCCCTCGGTTCGAAAGAAAATGTTAATGGGCCCCTTGAAAAGTGCCTTAGCTAGTTCTATACGGGTTCGTATAGGGGTTCTATGATACAAGACTACCATAGACAAGGCCTTCATAAGCAGCTTCTACATACCATGTATTAGGGCTTCCGCCAGAGAAGCTGAGGGTTGGGGCTTAGGGTTTAGGGTGCCGGAACTCCCACACGAGTTATGGTTCAGGGTTAGGGTTTGAGCTTTGCGTTTATGGTCTATGCGGTGCTCCGAGTGCCCCCTCCTCACTCAAATCCTGGAGGTCTGCAGGGTATAGCTGTCTGATAGCATGAAATTAAACTATGCTGGGATGAGGTATAATCCTGACGTACTACAACAATGCAATGGCCAATAGCCAAAGACCCCTTCGAACTGCACCCCCTCCATACAAAGGCACAAGTGAAGTTTAGTATATGCCCTCCCTCACAAAATCCGAAACCCTAAACCCTGTAAACCCTAAACCCTAAACCCTAAACAAACAAAACCCACAACCCGCCCCAAACGCTCGAAAGTCCAAGGCATTCTCGTGCACAGGAACCCCCTAAGTCCGCAAGGTCACACTCGAACTCAACATTCCCGGACAATGTCGGGAGCCCCTAAAGGCTGATCCCTGAATCATAAACATCAAAACCCTTATCCTTGAACCACAAACGTCCATAAACCCTGTAGGCCGGAACTCCTAAACCCTCAAAGCAACTGCCTTTTCTAACCCTAAACCCTAAACCGTACATCCTAAACCCTAAACCGTAAACCCTAAACCCTAAACCCTAAACCCTAAGGCCATCTATCGAACTTGCCAGGCTGAGTCGGGGACTATGCCAGAAAGGCCCCTGTTCGGGTCGACGCACCGAGTTGTCGTCAAGAACAGGGTTCCCTTGGCATGTGGGTTTAGGGTTTAGGGTTTAGGGGACTTTGTCGAATTTGTGCTTTATGGCGAAAGGTTTAGGCAGTGGGGGTTGTCGGTGACTGTTGTTGCTGCTTCGTTCTAATTTATCTTGTGTTTCAGGGTTCGCGGTTGTTGTGCACTGCACTGTACGTTGGTTGAGGGTTTAGTTTGCGCTTCAAGGTGATTTTGTGGTGGGTCTTGTCAACTACCGAAATATGGGATATGAAACGGATGTTATTCTCCTGACACCCTATATACCTTTCTGAGAACCGAGCAAAACTCTGATAGCACCTCTGACTTAACCTAGAACCATGTTTAGGATTGCAGGGAGAGTTGTCTCAATCTCGGCTGCTGATGCCTCCTGCAATAGGTCGTCATAGGGTGGGGGTGATAGGATCTGGCGTGCCGTTGTGACTCGAACATGTGTGTGTGTGTGTGTGTGTGTGTGTGTGTTTTGTTTATTATTATTATTATTTTTTTTTTTTTTTGGGGGGGGGTGGGTGGGTATCTTGGTGTATATAGTAACATATTTTGAAAGGGACGATCCCTACGTAGGCGGGGCCAAGCGAAATGCCATTGCGAACTAAGGGAAACCAGAAGCCTCAATGTAGAGGCGGGAAAGCCTTTAACCTACGGTTTAGGGTTTAGGGGAAACGCTAAGGCTTATGGGAGATGGGATCTTGATTTCAGGGTGCTCTTCGGGCTCGAGAGTAGAGGTGTTTGGGGTTAATATTGGGGCCTTAATAATTACAATAGGGTTTTGGGGCCCATTATACTAAAAAGTATAATAAGGAACCCACCGAAATAGTATTGGTATGTTTTTAGGCCCCAATACTTCCCAAAGAGCAGTGACGCCACCCATACGAGAACCCAAGGACCCGGCGACCGGATCGGTAAACTGGTAGGAAGATCGGCTGCAGAGACATGCGCCTTCACGACTTTCCATTTTTGCCAGTGATCGATACCAATCATTACTCCCAAACCTCACCCACCTAAACCGAAATCGAAGATTCGGCTTTCTTTGAGCATTGTGGGTTAGGTCCCGAGGAGTGTGTGGGGCTTCAAGGCTCTAGCGCTTTGCGGTGTACATGTTTTCGGGCCCACGAAGGCCAAGGCTTTTTGGGCCTCAGTGGTTTACTTGAAGGGCTTAGTTGTGAGAGCCCTAAGCAAACATACCTCAGAAACACCGCCCGGCAGATCAGTGCAACTTGCAGAGACGATAGGGACTCCAATATACAGAAATCGATAACACTGTGAACTCTACACGTCTAAACTGAACACATCTGAGATGCACACTCCAGGCGCAAACACCAGCAGCCCCGCGACGCCATAGTTTACGGTTTAGGGCTCCGTCATTCAGATGGGCTGAACCCCCTGCTAGGGTCTGGGGCAGAAGATGGGGGGGGGGCGTTGTAATAGTAGCATACACACGGCAATATACGTCCCCAAGATCCTGTTCTAAGTGCTAAGGCCTTTACATGGTCAAATTTCTTCGGAGCTGCAGTAATCCGAAGTAGAAGCACTGGAGCAATCAAGCCCCATCTTTGGTTACCTGTCTGACAGGTCCGAGGCCAAGAGATCAGGAAAACTCGCAGTTCCCGGATCCTGTTCAAGACGAAGGTTTTTGAAGACGCCACCCCGAAACCCTTGACCTTATAGTAGGTGAGCACCCTGTCCCCAAAAGATGAACCCTGTAACTACGATGGAGTGTAAGCTTCGTGTATTCCCCCCGAAAAGTTACAGTTTACCCACCCAGTCCGGTTCAAACTTTCAGAGCCCCCCTAGAATCCCAGAGAGAGACTCCAATATCCCTCAATTACGGAATATACCAGTAATTATAATAGGATCCCTAATATGATCTAAGGAATATTCCTTAATTAAGGGATATTGGAGCGCCGTAAACCTTCGGGCTAAGGACTTAGGCCCCGACCCGATCGTTGCCAGCCAGCATTTCGTCCAAATTCCGATGTTGAAGGGCCTTTGGGCTGGCTAGGGTTTGTGTTTAGGGGTTTAGGACGTAGGTTTAAGGGTTTAGGGTTCAAAGTCTAGGGTTTAGGATTTGGGTTTAGGAGTTTTGGTCTGTTCAGGGTTTTGGATGTAGGGTACTAGGGTGTTAAAGGCTCTGAGGTTGGGTGGTTGACATGTTCACTTAGAGGATCAGGGGGCTTAGTTTAGTAAGTAGGGTTATAAGTCAGGTAACTACAGTTCTACCGACTTAAAACCCTCATTACGGTATTCATAAGCCCACCTACTAAGTCCCATGATTTTCCAAGTAAGCCCTTGGCCCTTAACCCGTATAGTACCCCTAATAGACCCCTGGAAGGGACCCTTAAACCCCTACATGCTAAGTCCGATGATCTAAGCACTAAACCTCATAGATCCCTTTAAGGTACCCGTTTCATCCCTTAAAGGAGGCCTTTGAAGGAACCCCAAGACCCGACCACGGAGCATCGGTTTTGGGATGCCGAAGGTCTTGGGTGGAGGATCCCCGGGTCTTGGTTCTCGAGTTTGGGGTTGGTTTAGGGTTTAGGGTTTGGGGTAGGAGTATCGGGCATCATGAAGCGGTCTCTGTTGTCGCAAGTTTCTTGCTTTCAAGATCAGCTTTCTGCAAGTGTAATTAATGTTTAGTCGTTTCTTCTCCCTGGCCTTATGAATACTATGTTAGTCTTGGTGGTGGTTTGTGGGGAATCATATTTGAGCTTGGGCTTTCTTCTTGTTATCGTTTTTCTTCAGGCTGCTGTTGTTGCTGTTGTCCCTCCTCACTGCTCCGAGGATGAACCCAAGCGTTACAAAACTCATTCGGCCGATACTGCTGTGATCGTGAATGCAATTAGGAATCCAGTCATTCTGCGGCAGCTGCTGCTGCGACTGTCTTGCTTGCACTCGGACAAGAGGGGTGAACCCCTCCGCGCACGCGTGCGCACCGGGTCCGCTGGTCTTTGTGAGACTGCTGCCGGATTGAAGCTCCGTTTCTCACACCGTAACATCCCCCCTTTACACTAACTAAATCACCCCCAACTGGCCTCATCTGTACTCCGGCTTTCAGGGCTCTGCTTTGTTAGCTGGGCTCCCGGCCTATCATGCAGAAAAAAGGAGCCGTCCCCCTTCTGTGCTGGTCATTCAAACAAGGACATCTGAAACTGCAACAGCCTCGCATCTGCAACCCAAACCCCTACTTAACATCATGGCCGGTGGAAACCCCCGCGTCGAGCGAAAACGGCTCTCAGTAAGAAAAGGGGGCAAAGGCAAAAACATTCATGCCGCCCAGTGGGTTGACCGGCGTACTTCGTTCGTCCAGCTCAGGTGCCCCATCTCAGAAACCTAATTTACAGCCTTTCCCCTGAATTCCAAGACTGGCTGTTCAGGAAGGAATCGAGGATTGCTTCCACGGCAACGTGGATGTCGCGGTCGCCTAACTTCAAGGGCTGTACCCCAAAACTAACTATGATACGTGCGAAAATATTGGTCCCCCCTCAGGCATCTCACTCTGGTTCCTCAGTTCAGCTGCTCCTCAGTAGCGCTCTTCGACAAGTTCTTCGATGCTGATGTCCAGGTCCTGCAGGTCATCAGACGGGCGTGTCGGGTACGGCGTCTAGGCTAGGCACCTCGCTTGGAGGCTTTCTTGCGAAGATAAGACGCTCCATCTGCATCCAGTCGGCGAACCTCGTTGTGCCACATGAGCATTTCGGCATTTGCATCCTGAAGTCGCTGGCAGAGGTTTCCTTGGTGCTCGCCTTGGTGCTCGTCGTCGGAGGCGCGAAGTTCGGGTTGCTCAGACTCGCGGCGCCGTGTCTCCAACCGCTTGGTCTTCTTTCCCCTTCCTTCAAGCTTCGCAATTTGATCCATCAGAGCCATGGCCTTGTCCTTGTAGACGTTTGCCTCCTTGTTGATGGCCTGGATGGTTTCACGAAGCTCGTCTTCGGTGGCAGTGATTTCAGACGGCAAATGCATGGCTTTGGCGCTCGTATCTGAAGCCCCCTCGCTACCACTTCAAACCGAAAAAGCTTGAGCCAAAATGGCTACGGCTGTCTGTCTCTCTCTCTCTCTCTTTGCTGCTGCTGCTGCGTCTTCTGCTTCTACTTCCTCGAATACGACGACGCCAACGAACTATGGCGACAAGGACGCGGGCTACGACTTACTCTGCCGCCGTTGCCCCACCACCATCGCGACTAATCTTGCGACCAGTCTGGTTGTTGCTATCAATAAGATGCATCACAAAGTCATAAGTCTTACAGCCACGCTGTCTCTCAAAATGCAGCCAAAGCTCTTGATGTTCATGTTGGGCTCCCAACCTGGGTATGGCATTTGATGTTTGTACTGCAAGGTCCGGTCTGTCCAAACATGGTCAAGAAACAGGCGGTGAGTTTTTAAAAGATTCACTACACTGATGCACGAATCTACGGCTTTTGTCAATTTCACAAGGACTATGCAAGGACATACGGAACGGCAAAAACGATTCGTGCTCCTCTGCTGGCGTCCGGACACTTTCAGTTCGCGTACCTCTGACCCCATTCATGAATGGGGGGCTCAGGGCTGTCACCTCTAAGGCCTTTCGTAAACACAGTCAACTACAGGGTGTTTGCACAAGGTCAGATTGGCAAGCAGACTCTGATCGAACGAGATTAGCGACTGTAACGCAATGCAAACCACCGGAGCCCAGCCAACCCATGGCCAACGGAACATAGGCCATAATACAGGGGCCTGAGTACTTAGAATAGGGCTTTGGGGACCTGCCATCATACGATAACTATAATAAGGAGCCCCCAAACTAGTGTTTGTAACTAGTTAGGCCCCTATATTGTCCTAACCCACAGTTCCCGACGCCCACAAATCCCCTGAACCCCCACCCGACTCTTCGAGGCAACGTCGTACAACGCCCCATGGCTCTGAAACCTACGTTACGGTCGATGATGAAAATCCTGCATTACCTTAAAGACCCTAGACTATGGAACTTAAGGTGTATTCCTTGCTGTGGGTAATGCAGGATT